GGGGGGGGATGAGGGAAGGAGATGGAGGGAGGTGAGGGGACGTACGGGTATTGCCAGATGTGGTGGACTTCGTGGAGAAGACCTGCTTGGGAGAAGAATGCTCCCACGGGCACCTACTTTCCATCAGCAACCACACTTGCTAAAGAGTCAGTCATGATAATTGAAGACTTACGACAAACTTCTTCCTCGCCTCCAACCCCTGCCTCCACGCATACTCCCAATCCAACAAACTCCCGGGTTTGAGCAAGTATGAGCGCATTTCGAAGATGCCGCCGTCGGGGTAGCCGGAGGAGTGGGGCGGGGAGGAGGGCCAGAAGGAGAATTCAGAGACGAGCTGGTGTTGGCGGGATGTTATGTGGGCGAGCATGTCGGATTGGAGTTGTGAGAGTTCGGGGTCGTGGCGGAGACCGCGCAAGCTTTGGTCGTAACCTTTGTACCCCTCATGTTCCAGGATATGCGTAAAGCACCCCACATCCCCCACGATATTCTCCCAACTACCCATCACCTTGATCCCGCCCAACGCCGCGCCCCTGCCAATCAAAGCTTTGTAATACTTCTCCGCGGCGGAGAGGTAAGCATCGCGGGAGGAGGGGGGGACGGAGTGGGTGATCTTTTCGTGGATGTATTTGTTGCGGCCGACGAGGGCGGAGTGGGGGTGGTGCGCGGGGTCACCCTCGCCCGCGACGAGCCCTTCGGCTTTGGCTTCTTTGCTGCCGTAGATCAGAGTCTGCACCGTGTCTCGTGTCAGCTTGGCACAAGAGGGAGGGGAGGGGGGGGGGAGACGGACACCGAAGAAGCCTTCGCCGCCTTGTTTGGGGTCGTCTTCCTGGGCATCGCTCTCAGCGGGGACGGCGGGGGACTTTGTGGGGCGGGCGAGACGGGGGGTGGTGTGGAGGCTGGCACGGAGGCGGAGGCGGAGGGGGCCGGCTCGCAAGGGGCGGAGGGGGAGCATGCTTCGGGACATGGCTGTGCTGAGGGGTTGCGTGCAGAGGGAGCAACATGGCCATGCTTACCCCGCACCAACCCCGCATTTCAAGGACCGCCCGAGTACCCGGCCCCGGACATCGCCGCTGTTGTTCGTTCAACCATGCCCCCTCTACGTCGTCTTGTGGTCCGAATGCTCCCCAATTCGATCACAAAGGTGATGACTGACACAACCATGCAGCCAGCAGCGCACAAACAGTAGTCTCCACCGACGTTCTCGCCGAGATTGACGGCAATTGTGTACGGGTCGACCAGGACCTGACGTTGAATAACCCCCAACGAGCACTTGCCTACCGACATCCTCGCCTCAAACGCCTATGGTACCCATCCGACGTTATATAAGAGGATCGACATCTCTCATCAGCAGCGCTTCTCTCCGGATCTGTCCAGACTGTCCAGACGCGGCTGCATTGATAGTCGTCGCTTCATCTTGGCAACCCCTACGTCCTCGCCGTCCATGCATGCCATGCCGTTGCTGACATGAATTCTGAAAAAAAAAAACGATGCATATGCATACGAACGATATACGATGTTGAAAGACAAGAGCCACATTCGGATAACGCCGCAAATCCCCGCGCGCCCATCTCCTCTTTCATCTCGCCCCTTCTCTGACGCCCTCCCCAGCAGCAAGCCTCCAAGCATCCTCGGTGCCCAAAAGCTAGCTGTTACTCAAAGGTATCTACTCTTCAACACCCTCGTAATTATGCCCGCTTATCAACCCTTCGCTCTCCTCGACGATTTGTAGACACCGACGAAACGACACACACCAACATGTCTGAACGCGCAGCGTCTGAAGCTGTACCGGAGACATCGCCGAGACCCGGTTTCACCCGAGGCGGTTTCGCGCCCATCCCCCACCGACACCCGGATATCCCACCAGCGCCTGTTGAAGCAGCCTCGAACGCTGCGCTCTCGCCCAAGATTGACCGGGAGGACTGGGAGCGCGGTAGGGGCAGGAGGGAGAGAGAGTTGCCGAGGAGGGAGCTGGATCATGAGCGTGAAGAGAGGGAGGGTGGGAGAGGTGGGAGGAGGGATTGGGATGATTTGCCGCCGAGAAGGGGGAGCTGGGATGATGATTATGGTGCGTCTGACACTTATCCATATTTGTCCAGCTGCTGATTCTCCTCTAGACCGCCCTAAACGTCGAAGATCACCTTCACCTCCCAACCTCCCACACCGCCGCCCCCGCCTAGCTTCTCCTTCCCCACCTCCCCCCCACCACCGCTACCTCCCGGACCCCGCCTCCATCGAGACCCTCCTCCCTTTCCGCGCTTTCGCCGAGTGGTTCCGCTCTTCCCACCCGCAAACTGCAAGGCAGGACGAAGAAGAGACAAGGCTCCATCTGGAGCGGATCGATCGTGGGGAAGTGAAAGGCGAAGAGGGGAAGGAGAAGGTTGGGATGGCGAAGCGGTATGAGCGGTACAGGCGGGAGTTTACGAGCCGCCAGCTTTATGCGCTGTTTTTGACGCATCGGGATTCGGTGTGGTTCAAAGAAAAGTACTTGCACTACCCCGAACATGCCGCCCTTCGCCGCCGAGTCAACCGCCAAGGCCGTGTGCCGCTTGTCGAGTCATACATCACTGCCCTCCGTTCTGGCGCTAGGGATGACGTCAACTACGACCCCGATGGAAATGGGCTCCAGTTGGACGGTGTCAAGGTCGATGTGGAAGAAGGGTCTGGCATGGGCAAAGTCCTGGAGAATAAGTCGGATTGGGGAGAGGAGGAAAGCGTCAAAGCCGAGATTCAACCCAAGACGAAGCAGATCTTCTTGAAGACTGTGCCCCCTGGTACGAGCCGCAAGTCGCTGGAAGAATTGTTTGGGAGGGTACCGGGCTTTTTGTGGTTGGCGCTGAGTGATGTTTCTGTAAAGAGGAGTTTTCATAGGGTCGCTTGGGCGCAGTATGCCGAGTCGACGGATGTGTCGGAGGTTATTGACAAGCTTGAAGGATCCAAGGTGAGTCTTGGCCCCCCTCTCTCCTCTTTGAAGGTTGGGACAAGGCTGACGAGGGGTGTAGCTCGACAACTTTGCGTTCCACATGAACATCAACGTGACCCCCACCGTGGGTCGTATCCGCGTAGCACCCCCCGCCGTCAACTCGCTCGAAAAGCTGCTTCATGATGGCGAGACTGCCAAGCGCTTTGCCCTCCGCTTGGAAGAAGAGCTCGTGGGAGACGAAGAAGAGGAAGAGAAGAAGGAAGGGGATGAAAAGGACGGGAAGGGTGAGGAAGAGCAGAAGGGGAAGAAGGATGTTGCCGGGGGGAAGGGGCTGACCGAGCGTGGGAGTGATGTGGTGGAAGAGGTTATTGTGAGGGTGTTGGAGTTGAAGGGGTTGCAAGTCGAAGATCTCGACCCCGCTCAATCCATCCAACGCGCAAGTCCACCCCTTTTCTCTAGAGAGAGACACGAGCTGACTATCGTAATAGGCCAAAATCATCCTCGACCACTGGATCTCGTACCTCCGAAACGGTCTCTCGACTTGCTTCTATTGCGTTTGCCCGGCGTCTTTCCCGGAGGAGCTGCACCGCAAGTGTGTGGGGCATATCCGGTCGCATCTCGATCTCGATCCCTCGCCAAAGGCGGAGGAGAATGGGCACGAGGAGGGTGGGGATGTGAAAGAGGAGGGTGGGGAGAAGATTGAGGTGGATGTGAAGGTGGAGGTCAAGGAGGAGGTGAAGGAAGAAAAGGAGGAGGTGAAGGAAGAGAAGGAGGATGTCAAGGAGGGGGATGAGGATCGCGAGATGCGCGATGCCGAGAATCCTTCCACATCCAACCCCGCCCGTCCTTCGGACTCTCACGACCGCTGGGAGAAGGACAAATTCGACAAGTCCCAATCCCGCTCCAAACGTCACTTTCCCCAAAAGACGGCTTCCGAAAAATGGCTCGAATCTCACGCTCACCGCCTCTTCCCGCTCATCTCTTCCGACGTCCATCTGGCAGACTATGGGGGTAGGGATGTGGAGGAGGAGACAAAGAAGATTTGTGCGCCGTTGATCAAGCAGGAGGAGGAGAGCAAGTATCGGTGTAAGGAGTGTAACAAGCTCTTCAAGGCGCCAGAGTTTGTGATGAAGCATGTGACGAGCAAGCACCCGGAGATTACGGAAAGGAGAATTGACGATGTGAGTATGCTTTTGGGGTTGCGGGAGAATGAAACTGACGCGGTGTAGGTGTTGTACCTCAACAACTATGTGCTGGATCCCCAACATCTCCAACCCAACGTCTCTTCCCTCGCTGCCGTCAACGACAAACTTCCCACCGGCCTCCCCCACCACTCTTCCTCCTCCCTCCCCCTCCCCGTCTACCCCGACTCGATCGCTCAACCTTCTTCTCTCCCCAACATGCCGCCGCACATGAACCCGAACGGCACGCATCAAGGCCACGGGCAATTCAACGTCATGCAGCAGCAGATGATGATGATGATGCAGATGCAGATGCAGCAGGCGATGATGATGGGGATGGGCGGGATGGTGCCGAGTCCCGGGGGGCCGGGGGGGCATGAGCATGGGCATGGGCATGGGCATGGAGGGCAGGGAGATCGAGGGGGGATGCCAGGGAGGGGAGGAGGGGGAGGGTACGGGGCGCCGGTGAATGCTGTGCCGTTACCGCCGCCCCCGCCTGGAGGAGAGGATCCGAGGGCAAAGAGGGGGAGAGTGAGTTATCAGGATCTGGATGAGCCCGGCGCGGGTGGAGGCGGGGGTTTGCCGTATTAGCGTGGCACCATGTTGGCGTAAACAGATGGAGTGAAAAAGTTGGATATACATTATGCATGTTTGTGAGCTCTATATTTCCCCTTCACTCTTCTCATATCGGTCTTGTTGAACTTGTTCATCGTGCAATGTGATGTTAGAGTACCGTAGCAGCCAGAGTCCCCGACGTCTTGAGGAGTATGCCTTTCTCTACAAGTCTGATCTTCTTTGAGTTGGGATTGTTTCACTTGGCGGACCAGAGGCGTTCTACCTCCCGTGCTTCACTTGGGTATAGATAGTTATGATACATGGTCTTCCGTTTACACCTGGCTCGACCGACCGACCATCCCCACAACTGTTACAACACAACAATACCCACGTTGCTTCCTCCTACTTGACCCGCTTCGGTATCACGCCAGCTGATCTCTCAGTCAGAAGGTCGTCATCATGGAACAAGGGGAATGACTCACAGGTGATCTCGAGGCGGCTTTGCTGTAGACGCTCCACGAACTGCTTCGTTTCCGAAACCATCTGCGCCTCCTCTAATTGAACGTATTTCTTCCTTCCCTCTGGGTCCCTACAGCACTGTAGCAGAACGTCGATCCTTTCCTTGAATTGGAGACGTCTGCGCTTCATCATCCTCGCCCGACGTTTCCTGGAACACTCGGCCGTACGCTTCCCATATCCGGTTGGTACTGTTCTTTGGAGGGTGTGGAGGCGGCAGGGGGAGGGGGAGGGCTGGACGTTTGGTATCGGAGAGAGTCGCCTTTGCAGAGAGCTGGAGATGGTGTTGGTAGACAGTTGTAGATAAGTGTGGTGGATGGAAGAAGGCACGATTGACGTTCCGTTAAAGACCCGGCGGATGGCCAAACAGGGGGGTTCGATTCACGGGACTAACGGACATTGCCGGACACAAGGAAAGAGTGAAAGCGCGAACGAAAAGGTCGAATATCCATGCATGTTTGTTATCGTATCCTGATTTTCCTATATGATGGGACCAATGCACCGTAGCAGAAGGTTGGACGGCGCGACGCGAAAGTGGAGGCGAGGCGGTCTAAGCGGGGGAAGCTGATGTCAACCGCAACATCTATTCTTCTTTTTCTTTTGCTGTTCCATCTATCCCCCAACACCCTTCAGCCCATCCTCAAAGTCAATAGACACTCCCGCCCTAGCCAAGACCCTCTGCCCTCTACCGGACGCCGTCGAGAGACCCCTCGTACGTGCTGGTCATCCCTTGCAGAGAAGAATGAGAAGAGGAGCTCGGACCGCCGGGGCTTGTCGCCACTGGGTGGAGACTGTTTTTGCTACCTCTAGAGATGGCATTCCTCTCATCATGAGCAGCGATGAGGGGGATTTGAGGTAAAAGAGGGTATATACTGACGACTTTGCTTTCAGTCAACGGTCCAGTCACGGCCGTCGCGCCAGAGTTCTCGCTAGTCATCACCCAACATCTCATACTGTACGGGTACGTGAGCTTCTCCTTGATCATTCTCTTTCCCAATAGAGGTTAAGTTACTCTCTATGACCGATGCTGATACATCCATAGATCACAAACATCCCACTCGACACGACTGCGTCATGAACGAAGACTTTGGCTTCTCCTTCGCGCAACCCTCTCATGCACCGAAGAATCCCTTCGAATCACTCCCGCCTCTCAGGCAAGCGTCCCATAGCAGCCTTCCAGAAGCTTCGCATTCCAATGCCTCTACTCAAGCGACATCTACTACTCCTCTCTTCGGTGCAAGGTCGAGAGGCATGTTCCCCTTTCGACCGACGGCTCCTTACCCCCTCGCCCAGAGCACGTTGCCGCAAGATAGTCCTTCCAGCAGGGGATCGAGCACGACTGATGGAGAATCTGCATCTGCCAAGAAGGGCGTTGAGAAGGATTCGGGTATGGGCAGGGGGGGTATTGGCGGAGGCGGAGGCGAGAGGAAGTTTTTCCAACCAACAGCGAGAGATGGTCACGTCCCGCCTATCATTCAACGCAAGGCACCACCCGAACGAGAACCTGAACCTCATCATGGATTCAAGCCTTCCCCAGCTCGTCAGCCTTCGTATCATGCAGCGCCTATCGCACCCTCTCCGGTTCGACAACCTGCTAGTCATGTCCCGCCTGCTTCACGATCGTCCCATTCTGTCGCTCAACCTGCCCCCAAAGGCCATTCCCGAGGCTGGGGCGATCCCCCCTTCAAGTACCAGCAACCGAGTGTAGAAGACGTTCCCGACCGAGAGGGTGGTCAAGGCTCGCAAGACACCCATCGCCCTCCCTCTCATACCACTCGACCGAACTTTGAGTATGAGCCAATGGACACCGGCGAGTCTCATCAGTATGCTCGAGAAGGAGACGACAGTGGAAGCGATCCGTCTTCTACCGATACTGCTGTACAAGACGGCGCATCCACCGCTGCCCATCGAGTATCTCATCTCTCCACCGACGACTATCGCTCCCCGCAACCCAAAGCTTCATCTCACAAACTCGATTCGCCCTCGTCCGTCCTCTACCTCGACCCCGAGGCGCAAGACGGCACGCCTCGTCAACAAATGCAACAGCCCTCGACGCTTGCGCACTCTGTCAGGCAAGGCCAGCATAGCATGCAATTCCAGCCGTCTCCCCCGCAGGCAAGAGGCGTGCGGCAGCCAGAGTCGTCACCTTCGCACCCCATGAACGATGCTCAGCCGCCTCAAAAGATACGCTTGCAGCAGCAGGAGGCGCCTAAGACGGTAGAAAGGGCAGAGCCAGTGCACGGTCACGACAAAGACGTCGCTGCGGGGAGAGGAGAGAGGGATCAAGCTGGAAGCTCGGAGCAGGTGCTGCTGAGTTTGTTGCAGACCAAGAACGGCGAGATCGATGGTCTCGTAAGTTCAGCCTGTCTCTCGTCACGATCAAAACTGAAAGACGATATAGCGAGGCGATATTCGCAACTACCAGAAGCTTCTTCAACAGAAAGAGTCAAGCCACGATGACCTCATCAGCCAACATCAGCGCCTCGTCGAGTCATACGCCAAAGACGAGGAGACTTGGAAGACCAGCATGGGGAGTGCTAAGCGCTGGAAAGATAGTGTGAAGCAGAAGTGAGTTGTTCTTGTCCTTGTTGATGCCTCAGCTAATCACGAGAGTAGAGAGTATGTCAAATCTCAAGCGATGCAAGCCCTTCAAGAGAGCTACGCCGAGCAAAGCAGTTCTTATCAACAATCGCTGGGAGAGTTGTCTCGAGAGCTTGGCGCGTTCAAGTCTACGACTTTAGAAGAGACTCAACAGCGTATGTCTCTGCAGCTATGCCACTGATTTGATATGCTAATGGTCAGCGCAGAGTTATCCGGCCATGCCTCCACCATCGGCAACATACGCGAAGCTCTCAACCAAGTCAAGCAGAGTCTTACTTCTCACGACATTGCTGTTGATGAGCTGCAGAATGGTGAGTCACATTCATCACTCGCTCTCTACCAGCGGCTGACGTCCATTCTCTTTAGTGAAAGCAACCAAAGAAGGCCTCGAGAAAGCGTTGAACGAGCAGCGTATAGAGCTCGATGATGCGAGGGCGAAACAGTGCTATATGACCATCTGGGTATTTGGTATACCGCTGACATTGCATGTTGCAGCTCAAATATGGAGCTCAAACTTCGAGAGTACGAAGAGACTGTCGGGCCAGACATCAAGTCGGTCTTGAGCAACCTCGAGTCGTAAGCCGTCAGCTCTCGCTGTATGTCATTGTCTAATCTCTCGTTAGCATGAAAGCCCACTCGATACACGAATCGGCGGCCCTGCAAGATACTCTTCGCTCCTTACACAAACAAAGCGACAAGTTGAGTCAGAAAGAGAAGGAGTACGTCGAGATCGGTATCATGCGACGGCACAAGCTGACGTTGCTTTCAGCTATATCATGCTTCAAGCCGACTATCGCTCTCTCCAGTCATCCAAAAAATCAGTCGATGAGCAGATATCTAAAGTCGAATCCTTCCTGAGCAATCGTGGATGCGCCAAAAGCGGATTAGTGTGCATGATAGAAGAGCTGGAAAAGACACATGCTTCCGACATTGCTGAATGTGCGAAGGAGGTCGAAGAGAAAGAGAAGCAGGCAGCGGAGTGAGTATCTCGCGATCTTGAATGACTATCGCCTACCTCTCTTTAGGTTACAATCAACGCTCGAGAAAGTTCAGAAAGAGCTCGAGGCGGCGCAAGCTCGTACGTCGGAACTGCAAGATAGCTCAGAACTGCAAGACAACATCAACAAATCCCTCACCGACTCGAATGCTGAGCTCGAAGATCAAGTCGCATCATTGCAGGAAGCTGCGAAAGTACAGGGAGAGAAGGAACGGGCGTTGAAGCAGGAAGTAGAGGAGCTTGGGGATGCGAAGCAGGTGCGTATCTCAATGGGGTGATGAGAACCGTTTGCTGATGATGATGCAGGCTTTGACGGATCGTTCAACGGCACTCGCACAAAAGGTTCAAGAGGCAGAGTTGCGTTTGCAAGCCGCGCAGGTACGTGGGCTTCTCTGATAAGATGCCCCCATGCTGACACTTCCGTCAAGACGTCTCTCAAGGACAGTAAGAAGTCCGAAAAGCATCTCGAGGCCCAAGTCTGTACGCTCTCAAAGCAGCTCGAAGCACACCTCAAACAGCAGAGCGATACAAGTGTGAGTCGATGGGACGCGTAGGCTCGAGACCTGGCTGATCATCATTCAAAAGCACGTCCATGACCTTCTCGGAGAGCTTCAAACTCGAATGGAACAGCTCAAGAGCGAACAGGATGACGCCGTCGAGCTGCAGCGCGCCAACACCCAGGTACGATCACTCGCTCTGTCTTTCAGTGCTGTACTGATAGACTGCGCAGATACTGCAAAAAGACCACGCTATCTCGTCCATCCAAAGCTCTCTCGACAATGCTCATCGAACCATCGACGAACTGAACGACGAGATCCGCAAGCTGAGGGCCGGGTTCGAACAAGTGTCTAGCGAGAATGCGCGAATCAGAAAAGAGGTTGATGAACAGGCTGAGGGGGGGATAGATTTGATCGAGAGATGGGAGAGGGATCAGCTTGTGAGTGTTGTGCTACATGGTCATGGGGCTATGCTGACGTGGGGCAGTCGGCGGATGAGGTTGTCATGGTTCAGCGAGTCACTCAACAGATCAAACGAGGCGAACAAGGTAGGTCGTCCTTACTTCGGTGATGATCAGATCTAATGGCGTTGGGCTGTAGCTTTCTACCGACAAGAGCTCGACGAGAAAGGTGAGATATATCTAGTTACGTTGCTTCTTATGCTCTCGCCGCTGACGATTATGTAGCGAATGTTACGAAGAAGGTTGGTAGCACTTTGAACCTGGCAGAAGCGAGAGGCTGACGTTGAGGTAGCTCGAAGCGCGCTGCAAGAAGCTCGAATCGCAGATATCATCGCTTTCACATGTCAAAATGTCCAACAGCATGGCGGCGTCCGTGGCCCCTCTGGTGAGTTTTAACGATCTGATTTGACTATACCAGTAGCCGACGATTTGTATAGGCCATCACCGAAGCTGTTGCGGTACTCTCGCCTTACACGAGCTCGTCGACGAGTACTGTACATGCAGGCAAGACTGTACGTGCGCTCATCAAGAGAGGATCCTCTGCTTACTGTGGCCACAGATCTCTCCACACTCGCCTACCAAGCACGCCGAAGACTCGAAGGCGTCCTTCTACTCTCCCCTCGGCACCAAGTCATCGACCGCTTTCCTTTCCGAACCGCCCTCAAACTCGACTATTGGAAGAAAAAGAAGACTGATGGATGCTGATGTTGACAGCGCGGAAGACATTTCTATTATGGGGAACGGTCCGGTCAACGACGAGATGGATGCGAGCGTGAATGAGGCTACTTTCAACATTCCCCCATCGACGCAGGCGCATTCGAGCACGCAGTCTGTCACTAAACCCCAGAAGAAGGTGAGCACATGGACGATAATGGGTGATGTATTGGGCTAATGTTATGACTAGACTCGGTTTGCTGATATCCTCCACTCATCTACACCACCCGACTCTTTGCCCGAGGACATGGATGACCCCATCGAGCCCGCCACTTCGCAGCCCCAGCCCCAGCCCCAGCCCCAGTCCCAGGCCAAGCAGCGCGATGGACTTCCGCCTCCTTCTCAGATGCCCAAGACGTACAAGAAGAGCAAGACAGGGAGTAAGAGCAAGGTGGACAGTGGGGTTCAAGGAGGAGGAGCGAGCAGTGGGGGAGGTGACACGAGAAAGTTGAGGGGGGGAAGGAAATCTCTTTAGGTCGTTTTATAATCTTGTGCCCGGCTCGGACACCTCTCATCTGTGCATGCATCTACTCTATGTCTACATCTACGTCGCATCTCAGGCTCCCATCAGGAGTGCTCGACACTGTCTGCCCCACGTCCCCACGATCAAATTGCGTTTGGGATGGTTAGGGCGAGTTGGGAGAAAAAGAGAAAAATGGGGCGATTTATATCTGCCACCTATTCTGCCTTATTGACGTGTTTCTGGTATGCATATGCAGTAGAAATATGGGAGTCGGTTCTGATCCTTCTCCTTGAAGCAAAGGCTGCAGGCCTTGCGAACTTGTGGTGCAATGCATGACCATAATCCCAGAGTGGTACGACATGGCGATGGCGGCGATGTGCGCCTTTCGGTTCTTGGTTCTTGGTTCTTGGTTGTCGTGTCTTGACTTGGTGTTGCCAACTCACCTCTCCCCCTCTCCCCCTCTCCATCTCTCCGCCACCCGCCATGGACCCCACCAAAGCGCAGACGACGGCGACGTTTGCCCACCTCAAATCCCAAAAGTCGAACAAGGTGCGCCCCTGCCTGCCCAGCTCCACGCTCTCCACTCACTCCTCTCCAGCAATGTTTTGACTGCCACGCCAAAAACCCCACCTGGAGCTCCGTCACCTTCGGCATCTACCTCTGCCTCGACTGCTCCTCCGTTCACCGCAACCTCGGTGTCCACATCTCCTTCGTCCGCTCCACCAATCTCGACTCGTGGTCGCTCCAGCAACTGCGAACCATGAAGGTCGGCGGTAACGCGTCCCTCGCCGAGTTTTTTGCCAAGAACAATGGGGCCGGCCTTTTGCCGCCGACCAATGGAGATGCTAGGACGAGATATAGCAGCAGGCAGGCGACGTTGTACAAGGATGAGCTGGCGAAGCGAATCAAGGAGGATGCTACGAGGTACGTACAGCATCGGGCTCAGAGACCCGTTTCTGACAATGTGTCCTCGTAGAAACCCTCAAGGCATTCACATCGACGGCCTCGAGCTCACCCCCCTTGCCTCCCCGTCCAAATCGGCCGCAGACGACGACTTTTTCTCTTCATGGGACAAGAAGGCCGAGACCAAGCCTGCTACGCCCACCACCGCCGAAACTAGCCCCGCCGCCCCTCCATCCATCGGCAAGCCCGTCCTCGCACCCGTCGCTCCTGCTGCCCCCGCTCCCCGCACTGTCAACTCCTCTTCCTTCCGCGCTTCCTCCCCCGCCGCCCGACCCCCCTCTGCCTCCCGTCTATCGTCTTCCTCCTCCACCGGCCCCAAGCCCTCCAAGCTCGGCGCTAGCAAACTCGGTGCTTCCAAGCTCGGCGCCAAGAAGGCTGGTACGGCTATCGACTTTGAGGCGGCGCAGAAGAAGGCGCTGGAAGAGGAAGAGCGGGTGAAGCAGGTTGCGCTGGAGGAGAAGCAGGCGGAGGAGGAGGCGAAGGTGCAGAAGGCCAAGGAGGCTGAGGAGGCGAGGAAGGCGGCGGAGGAGGCCAGGGTTGCGAGTGCGAATGCTAGTAGGGCTGCTGCCCCGGCGAATGGGGCGGGGAAGAAGACTGGGGCGGCGACTGGCCCGGTGAGATTAGGTTTCGGGCAAGTGCATGGTGTTGCTGCTGCGGCGCCTACCAAGACGTGAGTGTATGCTCTACTGTTCTATGTGGTCGAAGCTGACTCTTCTCAGTCGCGCTGTTGAGGAGGATAACGTCCGTGTCGCTCGAGAAAAGTTTGGAGCTCAGAAGGGTGAGTTTGTATTCTTCTCGTGCTGTCTTCTTTGCATCACTGGCATCATCGACTTTTTTTTGCTTGCCATCGCTTCCATCTCCTTCCTCCTCTCTACCATCCCTTCTATGATCCCTACTACATCCTTCGCACATCCCTTGTCTTTTACGCCCTACCGTATGATCATCGCTCACCCCCCCCACTAGCTATCTCCTCCGACATGTACTTTGGCCGCGGCTCCTACGACCCCACCGCCACCGCCGAAGCGCAGTCCCGTCTCAGGGACTTTCAAGGCGCCACCGCCATCTCCTCCAACGCGTACTTTGGGCGGGACGACGAAGAATCCGAGGACGGCCTTGGCGGCGGCGGGGGGTATGGAGGTGGGGGTGGGGGTGGAGGTGGGGGGGAGGATGGGGATGGGGATGCGTTGGCTGGGATTGAGAGGGGGGTGAGGGATATGGCGGAGAGGCTTATGGCGAATCCGGATGTGCAGCAGTTGGGGGATCAGATTAGGAGTGGGGCGTTGAAGGTGAGTTTTTGGGTGTGACGCGGGCTACGGTTGGGTGGTGGGTGCTGATGGGAAGTCACAGCTTTCCGACTATCTCGCGTCTTTCGAGGGTCGTTAAAGGGTCGTATTCCATTACTCATTTATCATGATCCCCCTCGTCATCCCCCCCTTCGACGCGTTATCGCCAATCCTCTTATCCTCAAAATGTCTAGTCTTCTCTCTCTCTCTTTTGTTTTGTCGGTTTGATTTACTTTATTCTCATGTTTCTCTCTCTCTCTTTTTCGTTGCTGTTGGGTCAAATTCCCCGGTCCCCGGTCCTAGGTTAGTTTGAATGAATGCACGTCTATCAAAGTCGAGAAGATTACCGTAACGCAGTGAGCGTCTTGTCAGCTGTTTTTTTCTTGCAGGGGGGTGGGGGGGGGGGGGGGGGGCAGAATCGGCGGAACACCTCGGATTACGGCCAACGGCCGAAAGTTCACTATCGAGCAAGACGAAGATGTCCTTGACACCCTGGTTCTCCTGTGGTCTCTGGCCCTTCGCCACTATGGGCTGGCCGAACAAGACTGCTGCCCCAACGCCCTCCTCGAGACCGGTTGGGACATTCTTCCCTTCTGGGTCGCCAGTATAGTCTTCTTCGGTAACTCTCTTACGGACGTCATGCCATTCACGGAAGTCTACTGCCACCACATCACCAATACTTCTTGAACGACCTTTGTGACGTCTTCATTTGTGAGCTACACTTGTCTATGCAGTGTTTTGCTCAGATCTGACTGTCCTTGTAGGAAGCCACCAAGCCTATCTTTGAGGCCAACTCTGATGCTGCTGCCAAGCTTTCCGCCCAAAACACCCTCTAGTTCTACACATGTCTGGAAGCTGGTCTCAAGCTTCTCCACCCCTTTATGATTTATGCCTTACGTCACTGAAGACCTGTGGGCCAACGTCTCCCCCGTCGCCCAGGGTGATGCTTGCGAGTCTATCATGATCTCTGCCTTCCCCGAGAAGATTGCCGAGCAAAGCTTCCCGAAGGAAGCGGCCGCCTTCGACCTCGTTGTTGACTGCATCACGTCTGCCAGGTCCCATCATTGGTCTGTGATAACCTTCCCACCAACGGCAAGACTGTTGAGACCAAGATCAACGTCATCATTCAGGCCGAGAATGACGACAAGCTCCAGTTCTTCAAGTATGTCAAGACTGTTGTCGTTGGCTTGACCAAGGGATATGGCAAGGTCGAGTTCATTCGAAAGGACAGTGAGATCTCCCCCGTGGGAGCTGGTACCGAGGTTGTCACCACCGACATAAGTCTAGTGTTCACATTCCCGTCCAGGGCAAGATCGACGCTGCTTCCGAAATTGACAAGCTCGAGAAGAAGGCTGTCGTTGTTGAGGGTCAGAAGGCCAAGATTAACAAAGGCATGGGCATGAGCAATTACGAAACGAGTGTCAAGGAGGTGGCTAGGGCGCAGAACTCGGACAAGCTGGAGAAGATCAATGTTGAAATCGAGTCGCTGACGTTGGCCATTGAAAGGTTCAAGTTGCTCTTGCTGTAAAGCTTATTGTTGTAAAGGTTATAAGGTTTCATGGATAAAGAAGAAGAAGACATATGGCGCACTCCAGTGTGGACGTCTGGCGGCCATCTCCGCAATCCTTTCTTTCCAGACGAACATATCACAACACCACTACCCGACCACAGCTTCGCGTCTCTCTAAACACAGTCCATATACACCCACCCGCAAAATCTCTCAGCTGTAGCTGTAGACAACAGATTGGCCCCGCAAAGATGGAGGAGGAAGAGGAAGAGGAAGAGGAAGAGAAGAAGGGGAGGGGAGGAGAGGGGAGTCGCATGAACCAGTCGACTAGAGAGCATCATCGTCCACAACGCCGGGACCAGGGGTAACACTCACAGTACCAGAAGCAGTAGCAGCCCCTCTCACGCCTAGACCCATCTGCGCCCCTCGTATGTTCAGCCTCGTCAGCCCCACAGGCTTCGTCAACATGTCGGCAGTCATACAGGATGTCACCCAACACCATGCGCTTCTCCTCGTTGGAATCCCAGGGAGAAAAGAGTACCGTGACGCTCTTCGTACCAAGCGCGAGGAGATTACTTGAGACCGTACAGAGCCCGACCAAGGCGCCACACCATATACTTACCACCATCGTAACCGGAAGGGAGAGACAAGTAGACTTCCTCCTTCAAGGGGCCGTACAAGAAAGCAGTCTTGACGTCCATCTGATGAGGTTCAAGATGGTGTTGCAGGTGCAGAGGGGGGAGGGAGGGAGGGGTGAGTAGAGAGGGGTGAGTAGAGAGGGGTGAGTAGAGAGGGGTGAGTAGAGGGGGGGGATGTGTGAGGGGATGTGGGTTGGTGGGAGGTGGGTGAGTTGACCGACCGAGAGTGGCGGAGACTTGACGGTGCCTGCGGAGACGCCCACCATGTCGTTTCTAACCGCATCTTGTCATTGTCTTGTCAAGTTCTGTTCGGTTCTCTGTATCACCCGCCCCTTCGAATATGCTTTAGCCCCTCCCTCCGGCTTCTCCCCTCTTCCCCCTCCCCGCGCCCCCCTCGCGCCCCCCTCGCGCCCCCCTCGCGCCCCCCTCCTCTCCCCTCCGCGCCCCCCCGCCGGCACACCCTTCCTCGACGGCGTCTATGGCGCCTGTCCGAGACTCCGATGCCAACATCGGAAAGACGTGATGATTCCTTCAGCATGATCTATTGCTACTGGCCCGAAGCTCCAACTGTAAGCTTCTTTCTCTTCGATGCAATGGTGGATTTCGCTGATATGTCCGATGGCTTATAGCTTGTCATCTATGACTTTGCCTGTTCTTTGGAAGCGCGGCTACCACAGCCGCAATGCCGACGCCAACACCGTCCTCTACTGTGGGAGAAGAGAGACAGGAGCAGATCAAGAAGTTCTGTCAAGTATCTATCAGTGAGTTTTATATGTGGGTCGCCCTAATGTTTGCATTGGCAGTTCGATGTGAGACGCCAGCTGCTCGAGATCCATCTCATGCAGCATGCGTCTTTGCAAAGAGATGAAGCGGACCAGGCACAAGAGGCTATCGTGAGTGGTCTCGTCGTTGTGATGCTCCACTTTACTGACAAACAACAGGATCTTGTCCCTACATATGTCGATGAAGTGATGGCAAGTGCCATGCTTCCTGCCTACAAGGACAAGAAACTTCAGACATATATCATTGTAAGTCATCTCGTCCCGACAAGTTCTATGCCTTGCAGAGGAACGACTCACAACCGTCCAGGACATGATTGAAAGGCTGAACCCTGGAACCATCCCTGCTGCCGCGACCACCGCCTACACTGTGGTGCAGAAGGCAATCCGCCAAAGGCTAACCAATCGAAGGCATAGTGTCTTGACTACGGTAAGGTATATAATGTATGTATCCTCAGTGACTAATATAGGCTTTAGATCAAGGGGTCAATCAACAAGAAGACCAACCTTTGGTCTCTAGCGGCTGAGATCTTGCCCGAGGGGAACCAGCGTACTTCCGCTGTCCTTGGGAGGGTGGCCATGCTGGTAAGTTCCATTTGTGTAGCCGAGACGTGGCTGACTTATGACAGCGGGGCCTGGCTCAAGAGTTCGCTGATCAGGAAGAGACTGCCGCTGTCGCCGAGAGCGAAAAAGCGAAGAAGGCGGTTACTTTCTGGGACTTCGTGGATCCGAAGCTGAAGGGCTTCTATGAAGAGGGCAGGTGGACGGCGATGGCAAAGTGAGTCACAATCAGTCTTGAATTTAACTGAATATTGTTAGTGAGCAGCGCAGGTACTACGTCTCTGACCTGGCGGTGTATGGGAACTTGGTGGATAGCCAGGGCAGGGGCCGGCTCCCAGCCAAGCATGAGGTGAAGAGAGTTACATAGATCTTGTAAGGCTCATCAGTGCTATGTACTTAGGCTCTATGTAAGGCGATGTCGGACAGAAGGAAAAAG